TTCTAAATTGGCTTTTTAAGTAGAGAGATTCATATCATTATGTATATTAGGATCGTATTAGGTTTCGCACCGACCTTTTTTTACTTCTAAGTATAGCTTCTCAAGTGGTGTAGGTTACGTTATGCGTCCTATACCACTCATATTGTGGACAGCATTCCAAAGTTTTATACTGCGAGATAATAATAATAATAATAATAATAATAATAATAATAATGATAATAATAATAATAATAATAATAATAACATCATAAACATAACATCATAAACTGGACGTTACAAGAGCTGGCCAAACTTGATACAAAGACTAGGAAGTTCCTGACCATGTACAAGCTAAGATGCACCATCCCAAATCTGACGTGGACATGCTGTACCTGCCCAGAACAGAAGAAGGCAGAGGGCTCATACAACTGGAGCTTTCCTAAAAGTCAACCACTATCGGTCTTGATAAATACCTCCAGGGGACACAGGACACCCTCCTCCACTTTGTCGAAGACCATGACTACAGGAAATCCTTGTACTCCATCAGCAGATAGTCAATGAAGCTCAGTCGCGAACTGGGAGTGCGAGCAATACCACTTGTAGAGGATGAGACGAACACCACCTATGCCCGAAGAACAAAGGCCAAATCCAAACACCACGGTCGCCAACAGCTCAGGTCCAAATGGGGATCAAAAGCGCTCCACGGCAATTACCCACAACGGGTGAAACAGGCTGACGTGGACCAAGACAAAACCCACAGATGGCTAAAGGCAGCTGGCCTCAAGGCAGAAACCGAGAGCCTTATCGTCGCAGCCCAAGATCAAAGCCTCCCAACACGCTGGTACCAACACAACATCCTCAAGAAGCCTGACGTGGACCCAAAATGTAGACTGTGTGGCAGTTTCGATGAGACCATTGACCACCTGGTCTCTGGCTACCCTGAACTGGCTAAAACTGAATACACCCACCGCCACAACAAGGCAGCTGCACACATGCACCGGACGATCTGTAAAGAGTTTGGCATTGAGGTGAAGGAACGATGGTACGAGCATGAACCCAAGACTGTCATCGAGAATGACAGCGTCACTATTCTGTGGGAAATGTCCCTCCACACTGACAGGACCATGGCAGCTAATAGGCCGGACATTGTGCTGAAGAACAAGAAGGATAAAACCTGCCTTCTCATTCACATGACTATACCCCTCGACACCAGCACCTCAGTCAAAACCACGGAAAAGCTTACCAAACACAAAGACTTGGAAATCGAGGTTGAGCGAATGTGGCACTATTAAGAAGGACATGGAAAACCTGTCTAAATACGTAGATTTCTTTTAATCGCGAATCAAAGAACATCTGTGAAAACGTCCATGGTCCGTCAGCGACTGGAATTTTACTTTTGGAGGAGCTGATCTTCAAGTCGTGTTCAAGCATTTACAGCCGCACAGTCAAATGTGAGATTTGGCGACAACAAAAAGTGAGTTCGACAGTGAACTCTTTCCTTTACTTAATAGTATAATCTTTTGCTAAAATGTTCAAGCCTTCGCTTTATGGGACTGAAATTTGAATACATGCTCTACGGATGATCGAGTCTGTGTTAATTTGCCTGTGTTCTTGCTCATGACACTTTCAGGCCTTGTAAACTTCATAATTGATGTTATTTTAGAATAGAACTTTATCAGTTCTTGTGAGAATTGATGTAAAAAGGGACGAATATTCGTCAGCAATCGCTCATGTAAGGGAATCCAAGAAAGTCGACTTGGATTCTTCATTCCACGCCGTGGATTTCGGATTAAAAAAAAAGGACTCAAGTCTTTGCCAGTGGAAGTTGTATTCTGGATTCCAATCGTTAGTGAGATTCCGGTTTCCTTGAGTTGTATTTCAAGCAAACATTTCCCAGATTGCGGGAAAATCCGGTTTACCTCACATGAGGAGAAATTTTAAAAGCTGCTTGGTACTGACTTAAAATATGAAAGGAAAAACAAAAAGGATTCTGGTCTAGCAGTAAAATGACGCCTTCGTGCAAATGGCCTATTCTAGACTCTCTCGGATTACCTTACAAGAGACCATAGTGGTATAAAATGTGCATCAATTGCGCAAGTAACTGTGAACAACAACAGTCCAGTTCAGGACTACGTTCACCCGGACAATCATACTCAACCTACTCATGAAATGACTCCTCCTCCATTAACTATGATTGAAACCTTTCACAGTTTTAAGCCAAATCATAGTTAATGGAGTGGAATGGTTATGAAACCCGTCAAAATCCTTTGTTATTTGTTTTTTTGTGGACCTGAAGGTGCACAAGGTTCAATAGCATTCTTAGCATTTTGATCGTATTGACAAATAAAAACATCGCATTGCCAAACGAAAACAAAGGATTGTGCATCTTCAGGAAGCTTCCAACATAAAACTGCACCGTTGTTTTTATAATTGATGTTTGCTGCCTTCCATAACCAATCTCCTCTAATAACTATGGCCAAACTGAGCAGGCCGCAAAGGTAAAATGATGGATTTTCAGTATTGCTGTCTCCTTTCTTTCCTTGTCCATGCATGACTTAATGCAATGATCGATACGTAGAGGTCACCGTTCCTAGACTGATAGAAGCACCCCTGGCGTTAATCCAAAGAATTCCGTTCCGAGAGTGATAAAATTACCAGCATCGAACAGTTTTGTTGACCTTATGATTGTCAACTTTTTTTTTTATGATCGTGGTGATTATTTTAGTACAAGACAACAGTGTCCCACGGAAAACAGAGTCATTTGTTTTAAAGTTTTAAGTGTTAACCTGGACGTATATTTAAATATGTCGCTAATATTTGCTACAACAGGTTATGCATATTACTTAACTTTGTCAATTGGAAAAGATTAATCATTGCATACGATAAAAGCTTGATTAGGTCACAATAACGATTATCAAATTCCCACCAAGTTATTTGCACAGCCAAAGCCCCGAACTCTATCTGACGGCTCTTAACTAAGGCAACATGTTCTTGATGTTCATTTTTTTGTGGAGTTTCCAACTATCTATGATGGTCAGTGCTGTGACTCGTGAGTACTATATAGCAGCAGTGATCAAAGAGTGGAACTATGCACCCAGCGGGCAAGACAAAATTAAAGGAGTACCACTCCAAAACGACAGGTACGTTCAGAGAGCATTTCACTGTATGTACGTAGCTACCTCTGCTTATAAGGAGCGATCCTCACCACTTATGCTTAAGCTATCTGTTTATCCGGCACCTGCTTCGCTAAACTATCCCTGCTGTTACTGCTAAGTACTATTCATTTGAGCTCCCGGTTTTCAGCTGTTGTTGTCGGCTTCTTCTGCTGCTTTCAATCTCTTGCCCTCTGACTTACGCAACAGAATTTGAGCGGCATAATCTACAATAGCTGTTAAGAACAGTGCTATATTATCTTTTTATTGTACATCGCATTAGTACGTTAAGGGTTTCTTGCTCAAACTTGAGCCTGTCAAGACATTGTGCTGCCTCCCTAACTTAGTATACGTAATTTATCGTTAATGGAAAAAAGAAAAAAAGAAATCCCCAAGCTCCAGGGAACATTAGCCGGCGCCCAATATAAGTTAGCAATTTTTTTTAACGGCTTCAATATTCGTGCTGTAAATCAGAAAACTCATCGTACTTTGCCTTAACAGTTGATTGAAGCGTCGAACGCGACTTAATTAATTCAGTTGTGCTATTAGTTTTCTAATTTTGCTTTACAGTTATGCTATAAGTATGATGTCAAATGTACCGCCAGTTTTTATAAATTAAATTTAAAAAAGATTATGATTCGGTTTATAGTAGTTGACGCAATTAAATATGGTCAAATTCAAATCTGAATTCCTGCTTATTCACCACTGAATTGATAATAACCGTTATGAATTTATATCAATTGAAAATTCAGGCGGAAATTTCATAACAACTGACCTTGAATTCACTGCTCATGGCGAATGCTGGCATGCAGCCGTCTGAAATCTATAACCACAAACGCATTCAACTTTGTAATCAATTCACTGATAATTGAATCTTGGGGTATACAGGGTATACGCTTGACCTGGCTTGAAGGCTGTAATATGAGTTGTTTTTTCGCCATTGGAAACATTCAGATCAAACATCCAAAACTGTCAACATCTTTCAAAATCTTTAACTTAAAGATTTCAGAGTTTCTCCTTGGAAACCGCCGCTGTTGACGGTTATTACGAGCGACGGTAAAGAAAAATCGACCAAAATCTAAATTTCGTGGCAAGAGTTGCAAAAATCAATTTCTTTCAGTTTTTGTTCATAGATAGCTGTTAGGTAGATAAGAAACCTATTGTAGATTTTTCCTGCCAAAAGTCTTTTATTTGTGAGGAAAAGTAGAAGATCGGTTTTCGATGTTGGAGTCTCAGGCTACCCTAATTTTTAACCTGAAATTCCCTAACATCAACTTTCCTCACAGGGAGCCCACACAATCTGTGTGGGCCGATTGTTATTTTATAGTAAATGTACTGGATTTACCGTTTGCTTCACCTATAGCGATATATCGCTAAGTATGTATGTAAATCAATGTTAAATAATCGTTGATTACCTTACCTGCGATATATTTTCGTCCTTTTGCCTCAAAAGCGGTTTTTTGAGCGATTTAGAGTTCGTCTTTTACTGTTCCTTATATAAGAAGGACAAGGGAGGAATCCTTGTTTTGAAAGGGCTCCAGCACAGGAGCGATTTTTTTTTCCCGAAAATCGCATCGCTCCGCTTTCAAACTTTGCAGCAAAAAGGTCGAAAGATTCACGCTTCTCCTCGTACCTTCGATCCCGATCGAAAATCTACCCAAAAGGCCCGGAGATAACCCTCGACGAAAATTAAAATCCCACGGTGTTTGAACGGTCAAAATGTGTACCAAGATTCACACGTGCCAGTTACGTGCCAGTCAGTTACTGTTTAACCATGTGGTTAACGACATCCAATCATTTTTCTCTCTTACCGTCGCGTCTCACCTTTCTTGCGTGGGGTGATTTTCACGCGCGCTCGCGTTTCGCTTGCACTACTATCCCTGAGGAAAAATGGGAATTACTCGTAGTCTCGTAGTTTTCATGGTAGGCCGGCGGCCAACAAATTTCCAATTTCGAAACGCACACTGTAGATATTTACAACCTAATGGCTCGTTTTTCGTACTTCTTGTAGGTTTTCCGATTGCAAAGTTGCTTTTTTCAATCAAAGAGTGGGGTAAAAAGGTGAAACTGGGTCAATTTTAACCATTTTGAAACACTGAACTCCACCAGCCGGCGACTCTGCGTGACCAGGCGGTGTGCGCACTACGATCGCTAAGCATCATGGGCGGTATTCATTATCTCATCATTTGTGTCAAGATGACGTGGAGTGAACATCTCGACCGCGGAGTGAATATTCGTTAATTACGCTGGAGATATAAAGGATTTTGCTTTGAATCTCTTCCGGAAGTTCTTGAAAAAGAAATTCTGTCCAATTCTCAGGGAAAAAACGGTCTCATTTCGTTGATAAGTGTATTCTGGTGTATTTTGTTCGTAATCACTTGCATCCTGTTTGCAACTGACCGAGAAAAGAAACAGAAACGCTTTGCTCAATGCGTCAATCATGAAAAGCACTGGAGGTAAGACCCGCGGTTCGCCGAAAATTTTGAATTCACCGTGAAATCAGTGCAACTAGTGCTAAGAGGTACTGATAAGCATAGCTGTGATATGCTCATAAAATACTAAGAGCTTCTTCAGAATACCCGGCCACGGTATTTAAACACAGTGAGCGTATTTTGTTTTGTCATTCAGCATTGCAAGATGTTCACTTTCTAGCTGTCATAAGAGAATCGAAGTTGAGGGGGTCATCTTTTCAAAGACTTGTTTCTCTGTTGGCCTCAAGTCTGCATTTCGTTTTGCTTAACATCTGTATTTATCATCACATGAAGACAAGTAAATAAAGTAGAGAGTATTTGTGTACAATGAACTTGTGTCCTGTTTATAGATAATATAATATTGAGCATCTTTTTTTGCCCATATATTTTCTATTGGTATGAGTCATAGAATGTCTTATAACTGGAATGAAACTGAAAATGGCATATTTGTGATTACAAAGCCTGATGCAGTCAATAGATTTTAAAAGCTTCAGCCACTATTTGTTTAATGATTGTGTCAGTATGTACAAACACATGTTGTCACATATGTTTTTGGATTCTAAAAACTCCTCAAAATGTGAAATTCATACATGTTTACAAATCTCCTGTAATCAGGGCTGGGGCAACATAGCTTGAGACCCCTTTCCTTTCTCCTCACCCCAATTTTATAATTTAAATATGGTGTCATAGGTCTCACCATACTCACAGTCAAATCTGTTATACAGACACTGAGGGGACCGTAGAAATTGTCCATCTTAATTTAGAGAAAATTTAAGGGCTTTTTTCCAGGGAACAAAGCAAGCCCTCCGTAATGATGAGCAAGGCTGTGCCCTAAGGAACATTGAAAGGAGCCCAGTTCTCTGAACCTGTGAAATCTAGGCTGCCCAGCATATGATTTGTATGAAAAGTCAGAGATTTTCTAGTCAACCAAAAGCAAAAGTTAGGTGCCAGGGGCCACAGCGCTCTGCTAGAGCACATGCAGCCTTGATCAGGTGTCTGTATGAAGTGGTTGTCCGTAAAGAGGGCTTTTGGGTTACCAGTTTTTGCAGAGGTGGATCCTAGTAGTACAGTAAAACCCCCTGACTTAGAACCTGAATTTTAAGAACCCGTTAGGCTAAAATATGCCAGATGAGCCCCCTCTATATAAAAACTTGTTTAGCCTAAAATTTGAGACAGGTTCTTTTTTTTGAAATCTATGAAAAAATTCTGCACACTTGAGCAGAGATAAATCAACATTTAGAATCTTCTTTGGAGAAAAAGCTGTCTTATCACTCCAACTGCAGTGTAAATGCCAATGTTTAAATTAAAATACATTCCTCATTTTATGTCCATTCTCACATAACTTCTAATTTGGTATGCAGACTTTACATGGGGAATAAGGTGAAATACAAATACTCTTAGCTACATTTTTTCTTCAGAAAATATGAACCCATTTAAAAACCTAAATAGCTTAAACTTGTGCTAACTTCTATTTAAATAAGAATCTGTTTAGGCTTACTTTGTTAGTCTTATGATTTTACTGCCCCATTGTTCCACTTTTCCTATTTCCTTTCCCTGTCACCATCTTTTCAGCCTTGGTTTTCAAATATCAAAAGTTCATTCAATGATCAAGCAATTTATATTTTAACTAAACCCACCAAAATATGCAAATGCTTGATATACATTAAACAGTGTAAACGGGTAAACAGATTGAATGGCATCACTTAGCCTGTGTGGCAGGCATTTCAAAGAAAAGGGAAAGTGGGTCTTAGTGCAAGAAAAATGTGAGGGAAGGAGGGAGGGACATAACGAGCCGCACCGTCTTAGCAACCAAAAAAATTTTGTTTAGCTAGCTGAGATAGGGGACTAAAAGTCCCCTATCTCAGCTGGATACTCAGAAGCTTGTAACATTCACTATTCCATGTATCTCTGATCATATTTCGCACCTAATACGATAGAGGCGTCAATTTTCGCGCCATTATGTCATCATTCTAGGGCGAGAAATTTAATTAAAGCGCGGCATTCAACAAATGCACGGCTCAGGTTTCGGCTAAAATTATTCAGTGCCGTCAAAGCAAAAAAACGCGTATAAAGTCGATCACATTGGTAACACAGACAAAAACGCTTAAATATCTCCTACAAAATGAACGGCTGAGTTTGTTTTTTCTACGGTTCAAACTGCTACTACATATCCCAGAAGCGCTCAGGCATAATAATATGCCAGGACTTCTACCTGGATGAACCAGAAAGGATATAGAACAACTACCTATTTTTTTTCTTTTTACGGTTACGGGTCGAAATGCTAAACGTGTTATATATCCTAGAAGCGCTCAGGCATAATAATATGCCAGGACTTCTACCTGGATGAACCAGAAAGGATATAGAACAACTGCCTAATTTTTTTTTTTTTTACGGCTACGGGTCGAAACGCTAAACGTGTTATATATCCTAGAAGCGCTCAGGCATAATGATATCATGCCAGGACTTCTACCTGGATGAACCAGAAAGGATATAGAACAACTACCTAATTGTTTTTTACGGCTACGGGTTGAAATGCTAAACGTGTTATATATCCTAGAAGCGCTCAGGCATAATAATATCCCAGGACTTCTACCTGGATGAACCAGAAAGGATATAGAACAACTGCCTTTTTTTTTTTTTTTTTTTTTTTTTACGGCTACGGGTCGAAATGCTAAACGTGTTATATATCCTAGAAGCGCTCAGGCATAATTATATCATGCCAGGACTTCTACCTGAATGAACCAGAAAGGATATAGAACAACTACCTAATTGTTTTTTACGGCTACGGGTTGAAATGCTAAACGTGTTATATATCCTAGAAGCGCTCAGGCATAATAATATGCCAGGACTTCTACCTGGATGAACCAGAAAGGATATAGAACAACTGCCTCATTTTCTTTTTTACGGCTACGGGTCGAAATGCTAAACGTGTTATATATCCTAGAAGCGCTCAGGCATAATAATATGCCAGGACTTCTACCTGGATGAACCAGAAAGGATATAGAACAACTGCCTCATTTTCTTTTTTACGTGAGCACCTCCTCGACTCTCGAAACATTTGTCTTGCGCCGCTATAGAAGTTGCTTCTCCCGCGAACCATAGGTAGATTTCCCGCTTAACATAATGTTTGATAATTATGCAAAAGTTGACCTCGTGAAAGTCAGCAGTGCATTACATGTAATCGACTCAAAAATAAACAGACTTCCTACTGGGTTTTGAACACGGTTTTAATTAAAGTACTTTACGAGCGCTGCGGTAGTTGACCGCAAAAGTGTTACGGTGATGGATACTCAACTGGATGATTACGTCACTTCATAGCAACCAGACGGTACGAATTTTTTGACTTCCGGAGCGCTGAGGCTCGTAGTGATGCCTGCCATACAGGCGACTAATTGTTTTTTGCATTATAAACATCAACCGGGTGAATGTTGAAATCACTCCCTCCTTCCTCATGCAGTCTTCGCATTTCTCTTGTGCCCAAAACCCCTTTCCCTTTCCTTTTTAATGCCTGCTACAGAGGCTAATCACAACTGAATAAAACAGGGACTAGGCAAGAAACTGACAGTCATAACATCCACACAACAACACACACCAATCTTGGAAGTAGATTATGATTTTCTTTTCTCAAGAGTGATGTGCATATTTCTCTGAATAAAAGTAAAGTGCAAGCTTGGTGGATGTTATGAAACTCTTCTTCTACACTGCACTATTCTTACAACTCTCCCAAAAACCATTTTTCATAAAGGATGACTGGTTTCAAAATGCACAGGGCTTAACTGTACAATCAAACTTATCATTTAATTTAATACCTGTAATTCTTATCCTTCTGATTTTATACCTGCATAAAGGGAATCACATGTATGACTGCAATTTTATTATGGTTTTTTTAGTCCTATTACAAAAACGGACATTCTTACATCAGAGTACTCATCAGCCTATTCATATACCAATTTCGAACATTTTATGCTCACCTAATGCTATTGTTTGGAGGAACCAGTCGCAGCTGCCCCGCTATTTTGTGTTCAGCTTGTGATTACAACAGTAACACTTCCAGTAACATGTCACATTGGTCTTCGCGAGGCTACATTTTCCCATGAAAACATGCCGGTTTCAATTCGGAAAAAGTATCACAAAACGTGGGGCGCGTTGGGGAGCGATAAAAAATTAGCGTAGAACAAGGTTTGTAGAAACACTTACAACTATCTTCGACTTTCGACGGGCAATATAATGGAAATTATAGCTTCTTAAAAACCGGATTCAAATTTCATGCTCTTACAGGAGGAATCTTCGGGCTCCACGTTTTAGATTGAAATGAAGAATATTGATTTGTTTTCTTCACAGAAAAAATCTAAACAATTATTAGCTTATGAAATCGAGAAAAACGATCTAAGGAAAGAACTGTATCTATTGAAAAATAAAGCATATAACCTGCGAAATTTCTCGACCTTCGCCGCCATCTTGAAAATTTTGAATCCACAATGCATCGCAATCGTAGTGCGCACACCGCCTGCTGCGTGACAATCTGTTCCATGACTACACGTGACATAACGTACGTTTGAAGAGACGCAGCCGTCAAAATGACAGTCACGGAATCAAGGTAGTAACGCAACGCATTTCTTGAAAGAGTAACATTTTCGATGCCGACAGTATTTTGAAGAAAAAAAAATCAAACGCGCTAGTATTCTGGTACTCACTTTTTATCGAAAAATAAGGACTTTAACAATGGTAATTTGCTAAGGATGAGGGAACAGGAAGATATGTCTTCTTGTTACTTTACGATCGAGGAAACTTGGAGCCGTTGAATAAATAAGTTACTTTGGTTACCATCTACCAGTAGTTGTCTTCGCTAAAGAAAAACGCAACGAGATTTAAACTGGGATAACTATATGGTCCCGGTTGATTTTCCACGATTTTAGAATTAATTATGTCTGAAAGTTATTTTAGGAGTTTAGATGCATGTTACATATATAAAATCAAACAGCATTTGTCAGATCTAACCTTTGTGCTACATGCTTCTTCCAAGTACGCCATAAAGTAGTTGATAACCTAACCAAATTAAGGAAATAAACGATGTTACTGTTTCTAGTTCCAAAAGGAAACCCGGAACTCTTATAATTATTGTCTTTGCATTGGATTATTAACATTTTTAGAACAACCATAGTTAGTAATGATAAGGATAAATCAAAAACTCGACAAAATGCCACTTTAACCGGCCAGGAAAGACAAGGAGACGTTCAGTTAAAGATATGTTAGCTTTGTTTTGTAAAATAGCGGTGCTCCGCGCGCGAAGCGCGCTAGAGGAGTACCATGGGTAAGTAAATCTACCTATACCAAAAAAATTGGTAATCACGTGACCGTACACCGCCCGCAGCCCGTCCGTCCGCACCACAGGTATACCAATGTTTACTCTCACACTTTCTAGCTACTTTGGGAGCGCAGGGAGCCCATGAGAAAACTGATTGCACATCAATGTTGTGATCACTTGACAGCTGTCGAAACAAGGTATCCGCTGACCAGTATCACCAGACCGTATCGCGGACTGAGGTGTCGACCCATCCAGGTCCAGTATTGTTTTAAGTTACCCGCTGTCAAGTTACTAGTTTTCAAATGACCGCAGGCTCATTTTTTTTAAACTCATATGAAATATGTTGTGTTTATGTCACTATGGCCCAGCACTATTAACATTTTGATTCTAAACTGACCTTGACGCGAATATTCAGCCTGTTATTTAAAAATACAGGCGGGGAAGACAGATGCTTTTCACTTTTCTCACCATAGTTACGCGTTGGTCACGCTCCAAGTCCAATTTTATGCTCTGATTGGTCAAAATTTGACAGGTGAGTTCATGCGGAAAATTATGCAGCATCTTGGAACTTGTTTTCTTTGACAGCTGAAACTGACAGAGTTTTGTGTCAACTCGTGATGTTTTTGACTGTCTTTTTGCACTGGATGTACAAAATGAAATACAGCTGCTATCAAGAGTCTTCTGTCATACATGGCGGCTGGTTTGTTTATATTGAATTTTTGGTTGAGAAATACGCCGCCTGTCAAAGTCGGAAATCCGATTTTGGATGGCATCGTTTTTGTTTTTCACCTTGCTGGATCGATGCGTAAGGCCTGGTTCAGACGCCGTACTTGTCATGTGCCGAACCTAACTGAATAAGTTCGACTTTGGAGCGACACTGCGCGACGTCTGATTCAGACGGCGTACCGCATGTCAAACCTAAGTTAAGTTCGACAAAAGTTCGACAGACTCTGTCGAACTTAACGCTTTTGCCGCACCAAACTAAAACTGCCGTACCAAATTGATTCAGACGCCGCACTTTTGCCGTACTTATGCGTCAGTCAATTCCAACTGCGCCCAGCTCCCCCCCGGTCTGACCCCTGGGCATTAGCATTTTTTTTTTTGCCTTGGATGGCAAATTCCAGGGGGTGGGGATTCTTGAGCTGTCAAAACCCCCGGAGTGGGGACGAAAAAAGCGGGCAAATGCCCGTCCTCTGTCAACACTGCAACATTTTTTATTGATCGCACAGTCGAATAGTGCCATTTTAAGCATTTCAATGTGCGATTTTTTGATTCAATTAACGTCTTCCTTTGTAATATCGCTAGGATTCTAACGATTCTAACGACGACATGCACCAGTTTATGGTTTTAGTATTGATATGAAATTATTGACATTAAATTAATAGAGCGCTGTAAAGTTATATGTTATGAATAGTTTTATAAATATGCAAGGATGTTCTTCTAATAATATCAACAGAAATTTGATTCAATAACCAAAAAACGTTGATTCACTTGGATAGCTCCGATTTTGCTATGTAATTTTGGCTCGATAAGCAATGAAGAAATGCATGCATAAAATCGAGAACATGCCTTTACAACCCTCTTCATTCCTGTCCTTGACAGATGAGCCAATCTGCTTTTTTTTCCAGTATAAAACCCTTTGTGTAGTTATATTCTGATGGGAAACCGCCTGCGTGTCAAAAGCTCGGAAATGGCCCCGGGGTTGGCAAATACCCGGCCCCCGGGTAATGCAAAATTTGCAAATGCCCCACCCCCGGGACTGACAAGGCGGACAAATGCCCCACAGTTGCCCGGGGGGAGGGGCTGGGCGCAAGTGGAATTGGCTGATGCATTAATTCATCAGTTAGGTTCGGCACATGCGTGGAGCGGAGTCTAAACCGGGCCTAAGAGAATTATAAAGGATCAAGCGATCCTGGCCTTACTTGATAGCTTTCAGTAGCTGCATCTCGAAATATGGTAAGCCTGAGTAATTATTGTATTTATATCTAATTTCATGAAGTCGAGCGCAGTTTATGAAACTAGTGATTTGAGACACTGATCTGACCTAGTATGAGGTTGATATAAGCGTACAGAACTTTAAAAAGCCTTTAGTCGATATTAATTCACCGCAGACAGAAAGAAATAACTTTCCGAAAAAATATTTAGTTACAATTTTGGCTGTAGAAACAAAGCTTTGAGCAATTTTCTTGTCGCGAGTTCATCTTTGAAAACGGCAAACACCGGGAAGCCGGCGGCTTTAACATAAACTTAATCCTTAAGCTTAAAGACTCAGGATTCTTTGAGACACTTAAATACGTATTTGTTTTCGTGAATGAAAATTGTTGTCTGTGTAAATGTTGTACCCAATTATATTTCTTTATTGATTGTTAGTAGTCTCAAAAGTGCAATTTTCATCGCTTTGCCGTTTGTTTTCAGTCGTTCATGAACATCGCTTGCAGGAGTACTCAAACGCTTTTTAGTTAATAAATCAATAAACACAATAAATTCTTTATCATGTTGAAGCGTAATTCTTTTAAATTTCTTTGCAAATTTAAAATGGGTGATTTTGGAAATTTTTTCAACGGTTTCGCTAAAAGTCCAAACGTGTTTCGATGCTCCTGAATATTGAATGAATGCAATTTGTCTTGAAAAATTATGAAATACTGCATTTTGTACGTGGTCTGTATGATAAAAACAGCGCCTCATAGTACTCTTTCTCCTCAGACGTGATGTATAAAAAAGTATAAAAGGTTGGTTTGCACGCACCCAGATTTGTTGGCAACAATTTGTAAAGTAAACTTGTCGAACCGAAAAAATTCGACCTGATTTGTTTTCCACGCCTAATCTACTGTGATCAAGTGCCATTATTGCTCTTAAATGTGGGGTCTACATTTAAGGCTATCAACTCGATGCAAGATTTGTTTCACTCTAATATCATTTAGTCTTTCCCTCAAGTCACATGATTGTGCCCTTCAGTTAACCGATTTGTGGAATACAACTTTATTGTTTCATTTAAATTATAAATTTATTAATGGCAGCTTCGCTTTTAGCCCTTGTCAAATCTATATATTTTGACTTTGGACTCATCCCATTTTGTCCATGTTATTAACACACACTACGTCTGGGCCGCCTCTGATGTTAGCAGATTTCGGGTTGAAAAACGGTTATTTTGAGACTCCGACCACGAAAACTGATATTCTTACTTTTCTCGAAAATAAACGGCTTTTTGCGAGAACAACTTACATCACATTACTTATCTACCTAAAAGCTATTTAAGCAAAAAATGGAGGAAATCGATTTTTCAACTCTTGCCACTCGATGGTCGATATTTCCTTACCGTCGCTCTTAAATTTGGCGCGTTTTACAAACAGGTAGTCTGCGTCGCAGAGCTAAACAAGAACGCTCTTACAACGGCTATCACTCTCGAAGCTTGGAGATTAGATCGAGAAATGAGGAGCCCATTAATTCTACACGAAACAGGATTTACTTGCTAAAGGTGTTTTACTTCCTACTATCCATGTTCTGGGCCCCCAACTGACACTCGACGAATTACCAGAAGTGCGTTTCGAGTTTCCTTTCATACTAATTGGCAAACGGACAATGGCTTTTTAAACGGGCCAGTCATGGCGCGTACTCGAATCATGGCACACAGGTGGGAGGCCTGAACAAGAATTTCGTAACTGTTTCGCAGACGGACTTAACCAGAGTTTAGTTTCGTCTGTGGCACAGGCTAACAAACAGACTGTTTTGCAATGGTTTTGGTTCGCAGGTTTTGGTATATTCTCACAAATCCCAGGCTCATAATTTAGGACGGATCGACTTGGACAATAAATTGTTGTTCATATTCAAATGAGACATAACGAGCCGCACCGTCTTAGCAACCAAAAAAATTTTGTTTATCTAGCTGAGATAGGGGACTAAAAGTCCCCTATCTCAGCTGGATACTCAGAAGCTTGTAACATTCACTATTCCATTTATCTCTGATCATATTTCGCATCTAATACGATAGAGGCGTCAATTTTCGCGCCATCATGTCATCATTCTAGGGCGAGAAATTCAATTAAAAGCGCGGCATTCAACAAATGTACGGCTCAGGTTTCGGCTAAAATTATTCAGTGCCGTCAAAGAAAAAAACATATTATTAAAGTCTGCGTATTAAGTCGATCACATTGCTAACACAGACAAAAACGCTTAAATATCTCCTACAAAATGAACGGCTGAGTTTGTTTTTTCTACGGGTCAAACTGCTACTATATATCCTAGAAGCGCTCAGGCATAATAATATGCCAGGACTTCAACCTGGATGAACCAGAAAGGATATAGAACAACTACCTATTTTTTTTTTTCTTTTTACGGCTACGGGTCGAAATGCTAAACGTGTTATATATCCTAGAAGCGCTCAGGCATAATAATATGCCAGGACTTCTACCTGGATGAACCAGAAAGGATATAGAACAACTGCCTAATTTTTTTTTACGGCTACGAGTCGAAATGCTAAACGTATTATATATCCTAGAAGCGGTCAGGCATAATAATATGTCAGGACTTCTACCTGGATGAACCAGAAAGGATATAGAACAACTGCCTAATTATTTTTTTACGGCTACGGGTCGAAGTGCTAAACGTGTTATATATCCTAGAAGTGCGCAGGCATAATAATATCATGCCAGGACTTCTACCTGGATGAACCAGAAAGGATATAGAACAACTGCCTAATCTTTTTTTTACGGCTACGGGTTGAAATGCTAAACGTGTTATATATCCTAGAAGCGCTCAGGCATAATGATATCATGCCAGGACTTCTACCTGGATGAACCAGAAAGGATATAGAACAACTGCCTAATTTTTTTTTTTGCGGCTACGGGTCCAAATGCTAAAAGTGTTATATATCCTAGAAGCGCTCAGGCATAATATCATGCCAGGACTTCTACCTGGATGAACCAGAAAGGATATAGAACAACTGCCTAATATTTTTTACGGCTACGGGTTGAAATGCTAAACGTGTTATATATCCTAGAAGCGCTCAGGCATAATAATATGCCAGGACTTCTACCTGGATGAACCAGAAAGGATATAGAACAACTGCCTTTTTTCCCTACGCGTCGAAGTTCTAAACGTGTTATTCTTAGAAGCGCTCAGGTTTAATAATATGCCAGTAGTTGGGTTATTAAAAGTTAGCATTATCTTCATGCATTGACGTCTTGTAAGAGTGCAGCGGATATTCTCCAGTAAAGCACGAAAAACACATCCTTAATCAGGTTCATATTTATTATTATTATTATTATATTTATGATTATGATTATTATTATCACTATTATTATCATTACTTTTTTTTTCATAGCCAAGCAAGGCCTTTCACCCTGCGTGGCGCAAGCGGAATAGCTACCGTGTACAAAAAGGTGCTTTATCGGGAGTATACAGATGGGACCTTTACACACGAAAAACCCCATCCAGCACACCTAGGTGTTTTGGGCCCAGTAATCAAGGGCGAAGTGGGAGACGTGATTAAGATACATTTCACGAACAAGGCTAATAGAAATTTCTCGGTTCACTCCCATGGAGTATTCTACGTCAAAGGCGATGAAGGGGCTCTTTATGCTGACCACACAAGTAAGGATCAGAAAAGAGACGATATGGTGAAGCCTGGTGACATTCATCACTACACATGGATAGTAAACGAGGAACACGGACCAGCTAAAGCGGACGACGACTGCGTCACATTAATGTACCATTCTCACGTGATGTCCGTGGAGGACACGAACACAGGCTTGATAGGTATTTCTGGAAGAGGAGGTCGTGGCACACAATCATCTGCTTAATACTTTTCAAACTAGTTAATAATCAAATGAATTAAAAATAACCTCGTGAGGGAAAAGCTTTCTCGAAAACATTTACTGCAGTTCAGTTCTTCCTATTTAAGGTTAAGGTGGGTCCACCAAAGACCAACAGGCTATGTATATATATATATATATATATATATATATATATATATATATATATATATATATATAAACTCCTTTGTTTTGTTTTGTTTCTTTTGTTTTTTTTAAGCTTCAAAAAGTCAGTATAAGTTGAATTCATTTCTGTTCATAAAAATAAAGCTAGAGGGGAGCTATATCAGGAGAGGCGTTGATAATCGCATGTATATCTTTTTTGCTTTAATTTGTTTCTGTTTTTGAGTTGTTATTGTTATTGTTGTCGTTGCTGCTCTTTGTTAATGCATACAGGCACTAGATGGGCCAAAAACGGGGGCGTCTTTTAAGTGGGGTGAGTGGGCTAGGAGGAACTTCTCAAAGCGGCAGTTTACGGTATTGCGCTCTTTGTATCCTTCCATAGGTCCGCTGCTGATCTGCAAACGAGGAGCTTTAATGGGAAATAGCGTGCAAAGGAAAAACTTCGATAAAGAATTTTTTCTTCTTTTCACGGTGATGGACGAGAACAAGAGCTGGCTTCTGGATGACAATATTCAAACCTATTCCGATAATCCCGCAGAAGCAATGGCGAACAAATTTAATCCCGGTTTCAGGGGAAGCAACAGGATTGCGTCCATCAATGGCTATAAATTTGGCAATCTTCCCGGGTTGGACATGTGTCATGGCGATACGGTCAGTTGGCACATAATTGGAATTGGTTCTTTCAATGATGTACACAATCGTAAGTACCGCGCATGCGTGGGTTGATCCCACCATTAAAGAGAATACAGAGTGAGAGATGTAGTACTCCGACCTATTCCCCTTGTTATTTCTTAGGTAATCCTTGACAAGTTTTATTATTTTCAGTGTAAAAAATTAGTCAATTTCTTAAAAGTCTCACATCTTGCCGGACTGTTTTTGCAAGTCAATCAAACCCTGTTAACACGGACACTCAGAGAGCCATAGAAAGTGTTCCTATTAAGCGAGTTGAATTTAGAGAAAATGTAGGGGCTTTCTTTCACCAAGGACAAAGCAATCTGTCCGTAATCATGAGGTGTCCGTATTAGTCGGGTGTCTGACTGTAGGTCTGAAACAATTATTTTGAGACAATATAACAATTTTACCCAAGACCCGGGACACGAATCTGAAATAACAAGGATTAAACTTTCGATGCCAGTTTTTCTTCCTTTTCATTGGCCGAAAGCCCACCACGTGACCCGCAAATAACTACCTACAAATAATGGTCTGCCAATGGGCAATGGCGTCCAATGTGTTTCGCTGCAAATAATATTCTGCTCATGCGTAAATGAAACCACGCTTTTCTCCTTCTTGCGATCCCTCTTCCGTGGAAGTGGCAGATCACTTCGTTTGCCGCAGAAATTCATAAAAAAATACAAACAAAAAAACAAACAAATAAACCAAAAAGAAACTTGGTGATTAAATGATAAAACAATTATTGAACTCGTTTATCTTAAAATAATTATCTTCATTTATCGGTGTCTCGCAGATCAATTATTTTGCCTCAGCCTTCGGCTTCGGCAAATAATAAGTTGATCTGCTTACCACTGACACATCACGGTATTTTGCTCAACCTTGACCAAAAATTGTTTACTACTTATTAAATTTTTATATTAAAAAAAAAATCTGCTGGCTCTATTTAAAGCTTCGTTCCATGGGCACACAGTCAAGATCAACTCCCATCGCCGAGACACAGCAATAGTGCTTGCAGCCACTTTCTTGACAGCCTACATGAAGGCATGGAATCCAGGAAAGTGGTTATTGAATTGCATGAACAGCGGCTTCTTTGATGATGGCATGTCGGCAATCTTTAATGTCCAAGCCTGCGGAAAGAATGTTAACATGCCAACCGTCAGCGGCAAAAGAACGAAAATGTACTACATCGCAGCGGATGAGGTTATGTGGGATTATGGACCATCTGGTGTTAATAACATGGATGCAAAAGAGCTTACTTCACCTGGAAGGTAACAACACGTGATTTATTTGTTACGAAGGCAGGTGATTCCACAAGGAAGGTTAAATCAATTCATTTAGAATAGGTCAACGTGCTCCCCAGAATTTATGATTTGTATCTACAGCCATATACAAATGTAAGTCATTTGTAGCGCACTTATCCATGTAATTAGTCATGGTCAAGGGGGGTGGCTGTTGTGAACATAGAGTTGTGTGTTTCATATGTAAATAGAGTACTTCTCAGACGGACGATTGCTCCCTTTACAGTGAATCTGCTAAATACTTCACCCATGCTGATAACAGAATAGGAGGAAGATACAAGAAGGCAATTTTTGTCGAATACACAGACAATACCTTCACTACTAAAGTAAATCGAACTGACAGTGAAATGCATTTGGGATTCCTGGGGCCTATCATTCGAGCGGAGGTTGGAGATGAAATCCAAGTGCTTTTTAAAAATCAGGTAAACGACTTTGTAATGTAAATTCAACGGCAAGACTACAGGTCGCCAAAGCTGAGATATGACCTTCGGTACTGTTAAGTAACACTCGAAGCACAAAAACAATAGTGCCCCTTCCCATACTTAATCCTTTTATTTTGAAAGGTAGACAAAGGTGCTGATGGCCATATTTTGAGCTTGGGTAACCTGTGGCGATACTGTTCGATTCCACTGCTAACCAAGCGGCGTAGCGCCTGAGTTTCAGCATTTTAAGAGAACCCTCGTCAGCATTGAATAACGATGCCTTGTGACTTAAAACTTATTTGTGTCGCTCTAACACTAAATTTAGTGCTTTTTCAAACACTTTTAACAAAATTCAAATTGGCAGCTACATGTTAAAACAATGAAACGTTCGTTACATTAAGCATTCAACCAGTTTTGGCTTTTTCCAACCTCTTTCACGTCTTTTACTATGTCTTATGCTGAAAAGTGCAGGGCACGAGATTAAACTGATTAAACACAATCATGAAACTGGCGAATAAGACTCTCACACGTGCAAATCTTCTTTATTCAAATCATCTTATAACACAATCGCTTACTTCGAACTTGTCACTTCCATGAACAGGGGAGTCGCAGTTACAGTATGCATCCACTTGGTGTGTTCTACAATAAAGCAAACGAAGGAGCGGGCTACCAAGATGGCACATCCGGGAATGATACTGCTGATGACGCAATTATGCCCAATCAAACATTCCTTTATATATGGACCGTACCAGAGGCTGTAGCACCAACGGACGAAGATCCTCCATGTATCACATGGATGTATTATTCCAGTGTTGATTCAACTAAAGACGTACATAGTGGTACGTAGAATGGTTTGAGATATTGAGGGTTTACAAGTCATAATCCAATTAAGCCCGATTTCCTCAGAAACAATCTAGGCGTCAACGATTTTTTCCGTTCTCTCAGCTTATATAAATTTTGCTTCTTTGAATTTTACTCGTTGTTCTCTGGCTACCCCAGAGAAGGAATCGTCACGCATCAACAAACAGTTCAGAGATGGCCCCATGTTAGGTAATCCAAGACAGTCTTGGATTCTTGATTCCAGTTTCTGGATATCCTGGAACCTTGTCACGGGAACTTGGATTCCGGACTTCAATCTCTGGCGGGATTCAGGATTCCGTGAGCTAAACTCCGGATTCCAAAGCCCAGGATACCGGATTCCACAAGGAAAACTTGGTAGGATTCCGGAATCGCTTTCATCCTGTATTTAGGGCTTCAAAGAGGACGTTAAATACCGCCCGGTAAAAAAGAAAAAAATGTGTTCCACCTACAGTAAGTGGCAGAAGTCAATATTACTCATTTCAAATGCCGAGGAGTTAAGCCCTATGAACAGCACTAGACAGTAAAATTGCATTTAGGTGTTGAATGTCATCACATATCCTTTAAGTCAACTTTGTTTGCTCCATCTTTTATTCAATCATTTACGCTTTTTTGCAACATATGATACGTGTGTTGTACGTGTGGGAATTGAACTTGCACGCAGTCTGAAGGATTCAAGTCCCGCTTCATTAACGCAGCCGATTATCGTTGAAAGCTGGACGTTTAGTCCTACTAAAAACAGACAACGATCAGCATTATTAGCTAAAACCCACACACTTTTCACAGCCATGCTAATGCCAATTATTTCACATCTCTTCAAAGGACTCATCGGATGTCTGATTGTGTGTAAAAAAGGAACGCTGGAGGAAAATAAGCCGTGGAAAAGGAAGGACGTCGATCACGAGTTTTGCTTGCGCTTTGCGTTAACCAACGAAGGTTTTTCTTGGTATTTGAATGAAAATAAGAACTTAGCGGGGAACGCTTCTACGATAGACGCAAGTAAGTGAATCGTTTTAAAATAAAGGATGAATAATTTCCAATTATCACAGTTCACTGCCGGAGACTGAGATTCAACTTGCAAGACCACTGACAGTGGGAATTATTCTTGTTCTGTGGACTCTGCTAAACTAGTAATACAATGAATTTTTTAAGTCTGCGTCTGTCTTAGTTTAAATCAAATCCGCAAACGCACTGTGTGGTTTCTTAATGTGAATGATTAACTAAGTTAAGAGACTATGCCATCCGTGGACATTTAGGACTAGCAACTAAACAGCAAAAGCTAATAAAGGAAAGACGTGGTTTTCCCAGGATCCCTGTTAAGCTAAATGCTGGATCAATCTTAGCAGCTTAGTTTGTTCCTATGGTTCTACCAGGTATATTACAAAGAAAAGATCCTTTTTTATTATGATCGATACTGCAAAACTTCCCCCAGTGAAAAACCCAGTGTGCTTTACGTGCGATAGCCTGTTGCAGGCTTTCGGATAGTGGGGTGCGGCGCAAGTCAGAGAGTAAGAAATAACAAACAAACAAAACAAGGAGGGAGAAAGGCAGGGAACGCCGGGTGGGATTAGTTTTCAAAAGGTCATTCCACCCGCTTTGTCCTTCTTTTTCACCCCCTAACCCATCCCCTCGCTTTTTTTCCTGCTTATATCTCTTTGCACAGTCCCCACATTCTGAACGCCTGGAATAGGCTATTTGTGCAAAACCGCGATGTCTTCACGCGTAAAAATAGCATGTTATCTTCACGCCTGAAAATGCTACATAATAGATTATGCCTTACGCAGCTCGAAACGTTACTTTTCGGAATTCTGTTAATTTTTAAGGTGACAGGGGATTCAGGCAAAGTAACGAAATGCGGAATATCAACGGCTTCATGTATGGAAATTTGCCTGGCTTGCGCATGTGCAAAGGTGATGACGTTTCGTGGCATTTCTTGGGTGGTCCAGGGGGGCTGCTGCACAGCGCTTACTTTCATGGCAACACTCTGATAAGGAATGGAAATAACCATGACACAGTGGGACTAATGGAAGGTAAGGTCCCCCCAGGTATGGGATAATTAGCAATTATTGGATGAGGCTGAGCATAAAAAGAAACAAATGCACACTGTAATGATAAACAGAAGGGAATATAAAGGCATTTCTAAAAAGAAATAAAACTTTAGCTCGACGTTTCGTATGTCTTACATCTTCATCTTCTTTCATATGTTGGAACATACGAAACGTCAAGTTTGATTTCTTTCCAGAAATGATGCGTTTGTATTAGCGTAGGTCCCTCTCGCGCGCAGCGGAGCGCCATGTTTAAGAAAATTTGGTTATATATGCATCCAAGAAGTTTTGATCCGGCGAAAATCATCCAGTACGTAAGTCCAGCCGTTCGTATAAGCCGAGGAGATATTTTGCATTTTAAGCATCTGCGCGTTTCTTCGGCGGTAAAACACATAAAAACCTGGACTTTTAGGGATAGAAACAGCCGATTCTTTCTTTCGACTTCATTTTAATCTCTACATTGACGTGGATAACAGAGAAAGAGCTAGAGCCAGAGATAAAAACAAAGGAGACTAATTTCATTGGAAGAAAAACATTTTGTAGCGGCGGCAAGAAAATGAAAAATGCTAGCGGCCACCAAGGCGAAAATGAGCGGCAGCGAGGAAAAAATTGAGCACGAACATTTACAACATTTCCTCCATAAAACGTGTAATTAGGAATTTTCTGGAAGTTTCACGTTGGCAACGAAATGTACAAAAACAGTGTGCTGCAAGTGCAAAGTTGTTTTTTTGCTAATTCACTAACTGATATTTTTTGGCTGTTTTCGTTGCCGTCGCCGCTAAGCATTGTACGATTTTATATTTTGTTTATCAATGAGTAAACTATAGATATTAACGAGAGCTTCGCCTCGCTAAATCTATATACAGTTTCCTTTTGGTTTCTTCTTTAATCTTTATTTATACACGGTAAAAAATTCACCAGGTACAATCAATTCCAATACAACAGTATGCCACTTAAAAATAATCTGATTTCCATGAATGCCGCGTTATTAAAAATTATGATAGAGAAGGCCTTTAAATTGATTTAATGAACCAGACTCTCTAATGTTACAGGGTAAGCTGTTCCAAAGGGTTGAGCCGCGGTAACTAAAACTGTCTTTTATGTAGTTAGTTCTTGGAAAGGGGACAACAAGTTTGTTTACCGAGCCCCTCAGAAAATAGTTTGATTCATTTAGCTCTATAAATTTAGACGTGAGATATTCGGGAACCAGACCGTTTAAAAACTTGACGACCGGATTTAGGAGGGTGGCGTAAAGATTTGCGGTGATGCGGCTTTGCGGGAAATTTTATTTTAAGTGCTGTTGCAGTATTGCGTTTTTTTTTCTGAATTTGACGTTTAGATTTCAAGTAGTGTTTCCACCTGAGTTTGTGAAACAAGGAATCAACATCTACGTCATAGTTTGGTAAAGTTATTACTCCTGCAGCACGGTTTTGTATTTTTTGTAGCTTGTTAGTGAGATTGAACTAGGTGAGTTGTATATATTGAGTAGGGTGGATTGAGGCACAAATGACTTAACTCGCTTTATGGCTCCAACTGCGGAACCTATCTTTTTACACACTTTATCAAAGTGGGAATGGCACGTGAAATTTTCATCTATCCTTATTCCAAGTGATTTTTCAGAAAAACTTGTTCCATCGAAACATTATCAATGGAAAGTTCGAGTGTATCAGATAGAGTACTTTAATTTTTGTCTGAAGCCGATCAACATAAATTCAGTTTTTGCAGCGGCGTTGAAGGTAAGTCTGTTAGACACAAGCCATTTGCTCGTGAGATAGACTAGAATGAATCAAACGAAAATCAGAACCAGCATAAAAGATGTGGGTGTCATCAGCATACATTCTATTTACGCTGAACGATAGACAGTAAGGCAAATCGTGAATATAAATTTGAAATAAAAGAGGGCCAAAGATCGTTCCCTGTGGCACACCACATTTAAGAATGGTGAAGTCAGAGAGACAACGGTTAACTAAGCACCGTTGTGTGCGATTCGTCAAATACGATTTAAACCAATCAAGAGTTTTCCCTTGAATTCCACACCGATTCATTTTAGTTAGTAATATCTCATGATCAACAGTGTCGAGTGCCTTGTTTAAAGGGACAGTGTCCCGATTATGCGCAACCGCGAGCGTCATCTGTTTTTCCTTCAAAGGACAATAGAACCGTCATATTGACTCGACAAGATTTCCTTTCGGACGCACCGCCGACGGAGATTTGTTGTTTATATTCTCAAGTAATATTTTAGACTTTCGAAGAAGTCTTTCGTCTAATTTAAAATTTGACTCGCGGTACGAAAATCTCTTTCCGCTCGATTTAGAAACAACTTTTCTAATGTGAAACCCATGTCAGAGGTAAATTGTTCCAAGTGCAGTAATATTTGCCTGATTTGCTCCCGTTCTAGTCGTAAACGTTTGAAAGACATGAATAAAAATGCGATCTCATCGCTATGAATCGTCGCAAAGGTTAGTAAAAATTATATTATGATTTCATGGCACTAGTTTTTCTAAACATGTAGCCTCTGTTTGTTTGAATTTGTCTTGTCGGCCGTAGGGAGGTTCATTTAAACGTTTACTGACGCGTCGTTGCACAACTTTCACGACGCTCCCCTCCACAAATTCTCCTCAGTCACATCAATGTCTCAATGGTTTCTTTCTTACAGTCTTTATTGTTGCTGTTTCATTTCTGCGTATTCCCTTCACAATTATCTGAGCTTGTATGGAAGCTAGCAGAAGAAATAAGCCTTCAATCGGCATCAAAGCGCTTCCCATCTTCAATAAAAGAGCGCCAAAAAATCCAGATTTCGCCCAAATCGAAACTTAACGGGAACAATATATCATAGATCTGTAATCCTGAGAAGTTTTAGTATAGTATTAAACTCGGCCAAGCGCGATACAAACGGATTTTTCAAGGTTCTCTTACTCTCCTCGCATCTTTTGATTTCGCGACATCCTGTCCAAACATCATAGTTTGGTGCATGCGCAATAACGGGATACTGTTCCTTTAAGTCGAGAAACACTACGACGCCCAACTGTCAGTGGCTTCTAGATGAGCAGTAACAGTTGAGTGTAGAGACCGGAAACCAGACTGTTGTTTAGAGATGCTTTTTTCACTATTTAAGAAGTTGTATAACTGATCATACACAATCCTCTCGAACGCTTTGGCGACTACGGAAATGACTGAGATAGGTCGGTAGTTGTTTAAATAACTCGCCCTGCTTAACAACGTAGTCACTCTGGCACATTTCCAGTCGTCAGGAAATATGCAAAAGTATTTCGCGCGCTAGTCTGGGCCCAATAGTTGAAAAATGTTCGTTAAAGGCGCTGGAAATCTCGTTATAGTTACAGATAGAGATGTCATTTATACTTTCACTTCCCTTACTATCTGGTTGTTCGGACGACGAGACTTGAGGTGAAATCTCGATTAAACGGTAAGCAGGTGTAGGAGAGGACAAATTAAGGTCGGGAGAATATAACTTGCCTATAAATGACTCATAACTCGAAAATAAATCGGTTGGAGAAGAGGGAGATCTGTACCATGTCTCTACTAGAAATGGCTTAGAGTTCGGTTTACGAATTTCTATAGTTAAATTTTCAAGATTAATTACGTATAGATCAGTGCGCACTATATAAGAATTAGAAGCCGGACGTAATGTAAAAACCTACCCCTCCACCATGTCATGATTTCTGTCACGACGGATAAAGTCGTAGCCCGGTATATCGAGTTCGGAACTATTTATGGATCCGTCAAGTTTGGTTTCGCATTAATTACCAGAATATCAAATGAAAACTCAGCAAGAACGGCTGTTAGTTCGTCAGCATGTTTGACGAGACTGTTAATGTTCAAACAGGCCATTTTGAAACCACGTTTAGATGGTAAAAAATTAGACATATCGGAACCAACTGGAAGAACTTCGTTGTCAACTGATTCTGGCATCGTTTGCGAAACTAGAGAATAGTCGACATTCAAGGAATTAGAAATCAATTAGATCTCAGAAAATTTACAAAGTTCTGTTGCAGTAGCTCGTTACCTTCCCCACTGAGGTGAAGGTCACCTTTGTTAAGTCCTTTTGAACTGACGTTAGCATGGCTGATGAGTTTCCAGTTATTTTGCGGGCAAAATTTTTTTACACATATATTTACCGCTTTGACGAAGTCACAGTAATCATCATTCCTTGCAGTTAGTTCAGATATAAATATTTCAGACTCGGAATCATTCCCATCCTCTATAGCGAGGTCGATAATACCATCTGCCGAATCGCTCGATGTAGATGATTTCAGATCGTTGGTACCCGCATGTAGGCAAACTTGATCAGGAGGCTCAATTGTAGGAACAACATGCGAGGGCATGTCGCGAATTGTGGCGTCAGGGAACGGCCTGGTAACAACCCGATGTCCCACAGCCTTGGCTAGTTTTATTCCCTGAACATTCTTTATTATGGAGTCTCCAAAGATGACTGTGGTCTGCTCGTTGTTTACTGTTTGAGAATTACGGGCTGGCTTCTTTCTTCCAACTGGTATTTGACGCTCTCTTTAGTTGTTTCTGGGCTTTGTCTTGTTATCACGTACTGTCACCCAAGGGATTTCCTTATCATGCAAATTTTGCTCTTTGATATTTTCATATCTACCACCACTACTTACTATCTTTGCCAATTTCGTTGTTTAAAAGTTTTAGAGCAGTCATTAAACTTTTATTTTCGTCTTGAATAGATTTTGCTTCACGCTTTAAAGAGTCGTAGCAGTCTCTGTTTTAAGGCGCTGTTTCCATCTTGAAGCTTTGTCAGCTCACTATTAGAAGTCAGGTTAGGCAGTATTTGCCGCGACGAACTAGCCGTGATTTCTTTCACTTCATTCTGAGAATCTAACAGAAGGGGTAGGCATTGGCAGTTCTCTTAATTGTTGGCCCGGGTTTCGTCCCGTGCGGTACATAGTAGCGATGTATCAGTTTAGTCAGAGACTGCACTACACTCGTTTTCTGGCGGCCGAGTTCTTTAAAAATATGACTTCAATCGGGAAACCAGAGTTTTTTTGCTTCCCTTTTTTGATAGATTCCTTTTAGCAAGTTCGTCTTTCAGTGCTGGGATGGTTAGATTATCAATTTCTTTCTCAGTTGGAGGAACTATCTCGTCCTTTCTCTCGGAAGTATTATGCTTGAAGTTGCAACCATTTCTGCCATGATTGTTGTTGGCCGGCAACGACGATGATTCAGGCCTAGCATCCATCCAACGAAGACTTTTCATGAGCAAAATACTCGCTCGTAAATTGTGTGAAGACATCCGGCAACAAAGCAGACCGTCGTAAAGCACCCGTGGTGAAATTTGCTTTGATTGTCGGAGTTTCAGAAACAGGTCTTGCCGCCATTGAATTCAAGTGGCGTCTTAAGCTAAGACGGGCCAAACACAAGAGTATCTACGATTGAGGCTGAGTATGATCTGAAGAATTCAAATCGAGTAGTGATGTATTACCTACCGAACTCAGAGGTGGATAATAACCACCGAGATCTACATTTCCTGGTGCCTGTTCTGCCCGGTAACTTTTTAGGCCTGGAAAGCTGTTTTGTGTTTGTTGTGTTTGCATTCAAGACCAAAGCTTTCATAATTTTGAAAATAATACAGTGACACTATCAGTTAACGAAGCAAAACTGACTGGTTTGTGGGCAAGGAACTGTGCTTCTATTTAAACAGGTTTTGGTTTTAAAATCTGCCTTCGGGCCCGAACAGTTTCCGGTTCTTTCGAGAAACGAGCCCCTGGTGAGAAAAAGTTTTGTTGATTAACGCATTCCTACAATACCTAGTTATTGCTGTCAGAGGTGGAAAAACTAATTTTGAACTAATCAATTTTTGTCTGATTTCTACCATCAAGTAAAGATAGTGAAAAGCATATCAGGCCATGCAAGCGATAAATTGGTCGAACCGTACAGAGCTTGACCTACTACAGAACAACAGTTCGAGTCATTTGCGATTGTCAGTCGACAATCATCTTTCAGCCATTTCTTAGAAATTTAAAATCTTTTCTTTCAGCTTTGCTATAATAAGTACTATAAATAGGTTCTGAAAATTTCATTGCCATTCATTTGCCATTTTATAACTACAGGATCCCTAGCTACGATGCACATGATTCCAGATAACCCTGGAGAGTGGCAATTAGCTGATCGCGTTTATGATAACTTAGTAGGCGGAACTGTTGCCAAGTACACTGTATTGAAGGATTGTGGAAATTCTTCCTCTGTTCAACCAATGAATGGGCGGAAGAGATGGTATTACATTGCAGCCGTAGAGGAAACATGGGATTACGCGCCATCTGGAAAGGATTTAATCGAAGGAGTTGATCTCAAGGATAGCCAGTAAGTGTTGTAAATGTCTGTTAGTTCATTTGTTGTTGTTGTTTTTAGCAAGGTACAACAAGAATAAGAAAACCATCTTTTTTTTTATTTAGGCCTTTGGCATATTATTACCAAAAAATTACAATTTTAACTTGACAAAAAATTTTACAGCACTGACAACCCAAATAACGACAAGGTCAAAATTGGCAAGCTGCCAGCTAACTAATTGGCTAATGCTATTATGGTCGGACACATGCATAACAGATACAATATACATACCAGGAAAAAAAAAACAGGTGCGTTAGCAATTGTCTATAATAGTAATAGATTTAAAACTAAGAGGAAGAGGACATCTGTTGGACCTATTTTTGTTTGTTTGTTTTCTCGGTCGAAAAAGTGTAACCAAATTTGGCTTCATCACCCGCGAAGTCTCTGTTGAATGAAATTGAAATTCGCAGAATGCTACGCCTTTTTTTAACGGACTGTAGCTAAATCTCTATTATTTTATTATTTTCGCCGGTCAGCATTCCATTCTACTAACACTAAATCTGAGCTGTCACACAAAAGCTTCGTTAACCAACTGTCCATCTAGTTCGAAACTGGACTTATCGGCGTACTGTGACCTAAATAAAGCTGTCATATATAACCTAGTTTGCTCTTCTGGTCCGTTACGCAAAAATCTACGTGCTATAAAATACATTCTTTTGCACAGGCATGCTGCTCGTTACGGGCTGCCAGGTCCACGTTTTCTTGGTGGAATACTTAAGAAGGCAATTTATCGGGAATACACAGATGCCACCTTCACTCAGCGGAAGCAAAGAAACAGCGAAGAGGAGTACTTAGGAATTTTGGGACCAATGATCAAAGCTGAAGTGGGTGACACCATTGAAGTTATCTTTAAGAACTTGGCGTCCAGAGAATATTCAATTCACCCTCATGGACTTTTTTACAGGTAAAACAAACCTCGTTGATGCTTTTTAGTCTCAGGATTACTTCCTTAATACTACCAATCCCATTTAAATCCCATATTCTTTTTAAAGCCAGGTCCCTAGGTTTGACTTTACTCTAACCAAAAGGAGATTTAGTATATCTCAGCTTCCAATATTTGAACCGGTGTTGAAACCGGCTCTCCCCACTTTACTATATTTCTCCCCCCAACTTCCCTATTTCTAGTATTAAAAGAATATTGATGACTAAACTTTGCACTTCTGAACAAGTCCAAACGAGGCCATCGTGGGGAGGAGGACGTCGACGTATTAGAGACGGGGTAACTTACAAGATTTGACTATTAAAAGCTGACGGGAGACTTAATAAAGAAAGGGTTAGGTTTATAATAGAAGAGAGCTTATTAAAGAGATTACCGCCACTTTCTTTTCTTTCTTTCAAGTAAACAAAATGAGGGATCTCAATACAAGGATGGCACAGCAGGAGCTGATTTAACTGACAATGCGATCGCTCCAGGAAAGATTCACAACTACGTCTGGGAAGTACCTTCAAGGGCGGGACCTGGACCTAATGACACTGATTGCTTGACATGGGGGTACTATTCAGATGTTAACCCAGTTAAAGATACCAACACTGGACTGGTAGGCGCGTTGGTCATCTGCAGAAAGGTAGAGCTGAGTAGAATGAATTGGATGAGCCGTGGCATTCTACTATCAGAGCTTCGGCGGATAACACCTTCCTCGATCTAATTCTTCCTACCTAGTATACGAAAGCTGAAACCATTAATTGTTTTATTATTCATTCAAAATAATTCCTACTCACGAAATGCTCTTTTTTTGAATTTTCCTTCTTCAGAAAATTTGATTGTTAGCTGGGCTTTTCAAAAAATGAAGTGTTGCTTAGTCTAGCCAGTATTCCTTAAGTAACCACTATGACTTGTAATCTTCGTTTGAGTGGTATTTCCGCTTTTCTATCTCAATCTATCTAATCAATTAATCAAGCTATCAATCAACCAATCTGTCTTTTTGTTCTCCTTTCTGTCTCTCCGTCTCCCTGTCAATGTATCTATCAATTTATTATAAAAAAAATTAATTATGAACTTGCGCGAGTTTTTCAAAACCACTGGGATCAAGATGAAGGAAACATCTAACTTGGATCTATTCTGGGATAAGGACGGGGAACCGTAGGTTCCGTCTCACAGCATAAACTTATCTGGTTCTTGTGGGACGTAAAAACCAAGGCCACTGTTTTAAAAGAGTAGGGGACGTAGACGTCGGTTGTGTGGTCAACCTTCACATCATGGGTTGGGTGTGTACAGTAAGATCATGATGGCGGCTGCCAGTAGCGCCCTTGTATGCTGACTTCCGAGCTTACTGCTAACATATTAATATATATTGTAAAGAGGGCTCGTCTGTCGTCCTCCCGTCCACAACTCCTTTCTTCCTTCCTAAAAACACATGTATTTTCATTATAATTTTAATTTTTAAGGGAACTCTAGACGATCAAGGAAAAATGAAAGGTGTTGATAGAGAGTTTGCCACAATGTTCAATATATTTGATGAGAGCCGCAACTGGTACGTGGAAGAAAACATTCGAAATTATCTCACCGACAAGAACCCACCTCCACTTGACCAACTTCTAAGAAATTTTGACTTCTGGGAAAGCAACTACAAGCATACTATTAATGGCTATCATTATGGAAATGTCCCAGGTTTGACCATGTACAAAGGCGAGAAAGTTGTGTGGTATCTGCTACAAGTTGGTGGTAGGACACAAAAGCACCCAGTACATTTTCACGGCCAGACCATCTTATATGTAAGGAACGTGTGATTCACCCTGAATAGTAATCTTAATTTTGCTTAAGGACCCGTTTATTGAAAGTGCCAATAATAAGTGGGCCTGGAAAGCTTTGTTTTGTTTATTTTCAATATCGAGGTCTCAAAGTTTCTGCAGATAATGTGACTAATCTATCAGTGGACAAAAAGAAATGCATCTGTATCTTAGCTTAAGCATTCACGCTTATATTTTTTTAGATTTTGACTATTTCATTTCGGGCCTGAACAGTTTCTGGGACTTGAAACGGGCCTTGAAAGGGCCTTTAGTGTAATTTGATCACTTGTTTTTCGCTGTTATTATTAAAGCCACACTAAGATCCCAGGATGTTCTTAAGAAAGTTCGCTCGGCGGGTTTCCTGCAGATTGCACTCTGACGTTATGACGCACGCCCTGGGAGGGGTTACTCCTTATAATGGCCTATACGGGGAGGCTCCGCGAGAAAAAAAGGTACCTTTAACAGACCTTAAGTATATGAAAGGGGAAGGGATTCCACTAGTTAAAGTACATGCATGTATATTAAAGGGTTGGGAAATATCTGTCATTTCGGTTAATGAAAGGCCCAAAAGGGCTAACAGATGCATAAATGTTACTACTGCGAGTTGAATACACTGCCTTTACGGCAGTTAAAATGGGTGCAAAGTTGTAAACTAGGTATGTGAAAGGAGTACCATTTGTCTATGGAAGGTATATGAAACGGATACCTTTGTTGTCAAAAATGGTAGGTAAAAGGGTAAGAGGTTGAACCTCGGGGCGGAGCGCCCCCGTATAAAACTTTGTCGAGTACCCCATGACCATCCCTCTCCGGGGATGCACGATTTGTTGAATTGTTTATTATTATTGTTATTATTATTATTATTATTATTATTATTATTATTATTAATATTATTATTAAATAGTTTTTTATTTTTTTTATTAACTTTTTGATGCTTTTTATAATTGTTATTAGTGGTCTTTGGATTTTCATTTTACGACAATTCTCTTTCGTACACAAGAAGAATGTACATAGGGTATATATTTTAATATTTCATATTCTTGAATCTGTAAATAGTCTATTCTTTTAAATCTATGAATAAAGTTTTATATTATTATTATTATTATTATTATTGTTATTATTATTATCGTTATCATTACTATTACCATTACCATTATCATTATCATTAACATTACCATTATTATTATTATTATTATTATTATCATTATTATGTCTAAGTTTCACAGTACGAGTGCGTGTTTGCTGTACTATACTGGATAGGGAAATCCTCTAGGCGCT